GAAGGATACAGGCATTCTTACCGAGTACTTAAGACCACACCCAAGCTAAAAAGTCGAAAAGATGGGTAAAAAACCTCTTGATTAGCTCAGGAGCGAGGATAATCCCACCGAAACAGATGTGTTAGATGTTCTAAAACAAAAATTACAAGTTTAAGCAGCGAAGCTAAAGAGGTACCAGAAGAGTAACATGCGCCAGGAACAAAATGGGTCATTCAAGAGAAGCCAAAGTGCATTTTTCAGAAGTTTGCAGCCTAAAGAAGCAGATGAAAACATTGGGCACGACAAAACGCCTAGCATCGAAATCACCAGGGATTTCTGGCAAGATATACAAGATGTATGGAGCAAACCAGTCACCCACAACAATAACGCTGAGTGGTTGGAGGAAGTTAAGTCCAAAGTTAACATCAAGGATGAAATGACAGAGCAAACGATAAGCGAAGCTGATGTTGAGAAAACCCTTAAAAAGATGCTGAACTGGAAAGCCCCTGGCCCCGACGAACTCCAAAATTTATGGTTGAAATCCTTCAAATCAGCGCACCAGCAACTTGCTCGGTGGTTTGGAAAAATCCCTCAAAGTGCGAAAGAGCTGTCAGCATTCCTAACAACTGGAATCACATTTAAAATACCCAAAACGAAGCGGTTCTCAGATGACCCTGCAAAGTATCGGCCCATCACCTGCCTTCCCACAGTGTAAAAGCTGTTAACGTCCGTAATTTCAGAGAAAATCTACAAACATCTTGAGCAGAATAAATTACTAGACAAAGAGCAGAAAGGATGTCGGAAAGGCTCAAGAGGGTGCAAAGAACAACTAACAATTGATGCGATAATTACTAAGACCGCTATTAACACAAAGGCACCTATTTTCACAGCCTGTATTGATTACCTAAACGCATTTGATAGCATTCCCCACTCCTGGTTGCTAGAGGTCCTCGAAATTTACGGTATCAATCCGAAACTCATATAATTCTTAGCACAGACTATGAGAAGCTGGATAACCGAGCTTTGTCTAAAGACACCCGGCCACAGCTAAAAATAGGGACGATTGACATCAGGCGCGGCATTTTCCAGGGGGACTGTCTGAGTCCCCTGTGGTTCTGCCTAGCCTTGAGTCCACTGACAAAGTTGCTCGGTAGTCTGAGGGTGGGGTGCAATTACGGAGATTGCAATATATCACACTTGTGGTACATGGATGATTTGAAATTGTTCTCCAGTCAAAAAGAGAACCTACACTTGATGTTAAATACAGTAGGAGAATTCAGTAGCGACATCCAGATGAAGTTCGGGCTCGATAAGTGTAAAATAAGGAGCATAGTCAAAGGTGTTTGTTCAGCTCACGAAGGTTATGAGCCTGCGGGACAAGAAGGGAAAATAGAAGGTATGCTTGAGAATGATCAGCACAAGTACCTGGGGTACATGCAAGCGAGAGAAATCCAGCATAATGATGCAAAACAACAAGTTTCTGATGATTATAAGCGAAGACTCAGGTCAATACTGAAATCTGAATTGTCCGCACGTATTACAGCGCTCGCGATCAATACGTATGCTACCTCACTGTTGACCTACACATTTGGCATTCTCAATTGGTCCAAAACTGAACTCAACGCCCCGGACATTGCAACGAGGAGGGAATTCCGGAAGTATCGTGCCCATCACCCTAGAAGCTGTGTTGAAAGGTTCCACTTGCCGCGAGTGGAAGGGGGCAGAGGGATCCTAAGTGCGATGCGCAGACACCATCAGCAAGTTTAGAATCTAAGGAAGTACTTTGTTGACAAAGCCAAAGAAAGCAAGTTGCATCAGGCCATTGCGCGTGCAGATAAAAAAATCACGCCTCTGAATTTGAAGGATCATACCTTCAACCCAGTAGAAACGCTCCCAACCACAGAACAATCAATCGAGCAGTGGAAGGCCAAGCCTCTTTGAACTCCCCTTCCTCACTCAGGCCCATCGACCGTCTTACTCTCCTTCCTTACCCCGTCCATCGAGAGTCTTAAAAATGATTTCTTTAGAAAAGAGAGGATAGGTATCAAACTATTTTAATATGCTGCATTTGTCAATCCATGTGGTTTGCGAGAAGATCGGCTCCCTGCTGCAATTGCCATGCTTCTATCACGATGAGCATGTAAGAGGACGCGACCCTCTGGTATGTTTACCCTTCTAGTGGTATGGATAGTGCCGATGATTTATTTTAACCTTACTTTAATTGATTCTGATTCATTCATCCCAAATTACAAACTACTCTTACTCTCCTTCCTCACCCCGTCTTAAAATGATTTCTTTAGAATAGAGAGGATAAAACATGTATGAGAAGTTATAATATGATCTCTCTCATATGTATACAGGGTGGGCCAGAAGTCCCAGGACGGTCGGCTAACTTTTTAACGGTTCGAGATAGAAAAATGAAACTTTGGGAATGTTCCTATCTCAAAGGGGACCATCTTATGGGGGAGGGGGCGGGGGGCCCCCAACTTTTTTTTTTTCAAATGGCAACCCCTATCTTGTGATACCTCATTCGAAAGACCATGAAAAACTAAGAATTTTGGCGCAAACCGCAGATCAATATCTTAATTTTTGACCGAGTTATGATACTGTCAAAGGTCAAATTTGACCTATTTTCAAAAAATCACAACTCCGGTTCAAATTATCGTAAAGAAAAAAATAAAACGAGAAAATTTACTAAATTGTGTTCGCTTTTTTGTAAAAATTGCAGAAATCACTTCGAACTAATTTTAAGGGGGGGGGGGTTCGGACCCCCAAATACGTCAATTCAAAGGTCATTCAATTTCCCCTCGAAATACGCCAATTTCCCCTAGATTTGCCTCCACATTATCTCAATAAGGTCAAAATCAGTTCAACATTACGTTGAGCAAGTCCCCAAAATTTCAGGAAAAGTTAAAAAAACGCAATTTAAGGTAATTAAATTTGACCGTTTAAATTGGGTTTTTTTTTCAACTTCCCTGAAATTTGGGGACTTGCCCAACGTAATGTTGAACTGATTTTGACCTTACTGAGATAATGTGGAGGCAAATCTAGGGGAAATTGGCTTATTTCGAGGGGAAATTGAATGACCTTTGAATTGACGTATTTGGGGGTCCGGACTCCCCCTTAAAATTAGTTCGATGTGATTTCTGCAATTTTCACAAAAAAGCGAACACATTTAGTAAATTTTCCCGTATTATTTTTTTCTTTACGATAATTTGAACCGGAGTTGTGATTTTTTGAAAATAGGTCAAATTTGACCTTTGACAGTATCATAACTCGGTCAAAAATTAAGATATTGATCTGCGGTTTGCGCCAAAATTCTTAGTTTTTCATGGTCTTTCGAATGAGGTATCACAAGATAGGGGTTGCCATTTGAAAAAAAAAGTTGGGGGCCCCCCGCCCCCTCCCTTAGGGGGGACCAAAATTTTGACTCCCCCATAAGATGGTCCCCTTTGAGATAGGAACATTCCCATAGTTTCATTTTTCTATCTCGAACCGTTAAAAAGTTAGCCGACCGTCCTGGAACTTCTGGCCCACCCTGTATACACATATACAGGGTGTTTCAGACCACCCGTACCAGGCCTTTTTCTCAGTTGGTATAGGTCGTACGAAGTCGGAGACCGCGGGGTTGAATAGGGAATTGACCTCAAGGAATCCGAATTTCGTGATCCCGAAACCCCCCTACCCCCCCCCCTCTTGGGGGATAAAGGGGGGTCACGATGCTAAAGTCACGGTTCCCGACAGAATTGCGGATTAATCGCATCAGAATTGAAAAGCACGGAAAATTTCACGTGGAATTGACCCCTAAAAATCCAAAATCGGACCATCCAAGGCCCAAAAATGATCCCCTAAAGAGGGGGACAGTACCCCCCTCCATAATGTCTCTTTGGTCTCAAAATTGACGTAAATTCTCCAGAAACAGACGGTATTCCAGGTAATCGACCTCGAGAAATCCAAATTTCATGGTCCTGAAGCTCCTCTAGCCCCCCTCGGGGGGTAAACTGGGGGGCCCAATTTTAAAAATCGGGGCTCCTTTCCGAATCGCAAACTGATGGCATCCAAATTGAGGAGCAGAACACACTTACATCTTAAGTGACTCCTAAGAGTTCTAATAGACCCCCTGAACGGCAGAAAGTAACTCCCTGAGGAGGGGGGCTCCGCTCCCGCCAAAAATTCCTTAAGATTCCTCTTTGGTCGCAAAATTGACGTCGATTCTCCAGAAAAAGACGGTCTCCCATGTAATCGACCCCGAGGACTCTAAATTTCATGTTCCTTGAGCTCATTTTTCGGAAAATTTTCGCTAAAATTTCGGAAAATTCAACATGGCGGCAAATTTGAGGAAACGCGAATAATGAAAATTCCAGAAACTGTTATCTTTCAAATACCCTCTAGTTTAAGGAAATCAATGGTATCAACTTTTTTTCCTTTATTTGGCCAAGTAAGAGCAATAATTTGCTGACTTTAAAGTTGTCAAGCGGGACGCCTTCAATCGTTGGAGTATGCGACATCACATGCACAGGATTAAGTGTGCTGTCAAAAAATGAAGCCGATGTGAAAAAGCGCTCCTCCAAAATGTATAAGCTTCGACCGAATAAGCATTTTAAGAGAAGTACCAACTAAGCAGAGGGTTGATATTTATTGAAGCTTGGAACAACAAAAATTAAATATGATGTACCAATTTTTTTGTGATGTGTCGAAAAAGCTCGAACTTTTATATATTACCATCGCTAAGTAGTAACAGCAAAATCACTGGACGTGCCTCGTTTTTGCAAATTAGGTGTAGGTATCTATTACCCAGGGGTGAGTATCCTTACTCAGCTTAATTTCGTCGAAATAATGACGTGTCCCCTTTTTGAGATCAGGGATTCCAACTATGATGCGCCGCGAAGCTGTGGTTGGTGAAAAGTCCGTCTTGGATATATAGCTCAGGAATGAGTTTTCGGGGCACCTCCGACGTGAATGCAACACTCTGAGCTTTCTAAAATAGACGCTAATTGAGGGTGTGTGTTGATGTGTTTCAGAACGGGCTGAATGCCCTGCACTTAGCCTCGAAGGACGGCCACGTAGCGGTCGTGAATGAATTATTGAGCAGGGGATGCAAAGTTGACTCGGCCACGAAAAAGGGGAACACCGCCCTCCACGTCGCTGCTCTAGGTAAGCTTCTTCTCCACTTCAGTTCTTGTATCATCTCCCGTCGTGTCATGCCCATTCAGAAGGGCAATGGCGAGGCGTGAATGATCGATTATCGATATTTCTCCATTTAAAGCTATGGTCAAGAATATATTATTAAGGTAACTCTGTCTATCGATCCTTTCCCATAGGTTTAAATTGGGAATCAATCGATGTATCGCAAAGCACGCCACGCCACTGTAGAAGGGGTTCAAAAAGTGCCATTCCGCCGACTGTTTCACGGGGTCGGGGACTTTTCCTCCTCGCTTTCTTCAATTTTTCCATTCAATTACCCCCCCTTCCCCTTATTTTTTTTTCGCTTTTCACCGTATCGAATTTTTGTTAGGGACGTCGCCCTGAAAGTGAGGAAAATCGATAAATCTTCGGAATTTTTCCGAAAAGATTTTTCGGTGTCCGTTTGGACCTGAATATCCGCACCAAACTCGCTGCGATGTAAGGATCGCATGATCGGGCAGTTTTTGCCCCCCTGCTCTTTGGGTGCCTAGCCAAAGATGCAGAGAAGAAAGAAAATTATTTTACTGGATGACGAGTACTCCGGAGCTGAAATTGACAGTGCATAGAATTAAGAACTCAACTCGTAGAATAAAATTCCTGATTTGCTGATCTGAAAAAGCCAATTTGGCTGCAGCCATTACCAATAGCAGGATTTCCAGCAACGCGAAAAACAGGGCCAAGGCGCGGAATTTTTGGTTATCTGGAAGTCATGGAAAAGTCAGGGAATTTAATAATTATGTATATTTTTTCAGGATCCTTCAGAAGTAATTGCACCTAATAAATGTTAGGAAAATATTGAGCGCGTCTGTTAGTAGAGAACTATTTGCGGCAGCTATTTTGTCCCACCTGTACAATGTACCTTGTCGACTGGCCCCACTGATAAATGCTATCATGCGCCATTTTGTCTGACGCGGGAAAACTTTTAATTTGTGGGTTTACTCGTATTTTGAAACTGCAGGTATTTATATCGTTAAATAAGTGAAATGCTTTTATCGCATTGTGATTTGGCAACTTTGATCATTCGTTTAAGACATCACCGGACGCATGTTTTTTAACTTCAACTACTTACGAGCTGTACATGTTGTAAGTAGGGCCCTTTTGAAATTATATTGTGTGTGAGCGTGTGCCATGATAACGTCACAATGCCTTCCTCTACTCTGTGGCAAAGACGGTCGTTAGTGTCTTGATCACGCCACCCGTTCGAACAAGAATATCGACGGCGAAACTCTGAAACCAGGTATCTCGTTTGTGGTATTTACTAATCTCCGCTCCTATTTTATTTTACGAAGGGAGAGTAAAACAACATCCCTAAAGTTTTTCTAGAATTTTCTGCTCACTGAAAGAAAAAAATCACTTAGTATTTTATGATCTGTTCTCCATTTAAAAAATAAAGTACCCACATATGACAGAAAGTCTATACTAGGGAGCAAAGGCAGTTGGTTCCACGTCTAATAAGAGAAATGATTGATACAATGAAACATAATGAGGAAATTTGTTATTCGCGGGCTCACTTTGATAAATTATTGAGCCAGTTGTATTTACAGTTTTTCAACCTAACGTAGCGCACTCTATGGGGACCTAACTTCATCCGCGCCAACAAATAGCATATACATACAAATCTAGTAAACCCACAAATTAAAAATTTTCCCGCATCAGACAAAATGGCGCATGATGGCATTTATCAGTGCAGCCAGTCGACAAGGTACATTGTACAGGTGGGACCAAATAGCCGCCCCAAAAGTAGCTAACATTGATCAATGGACATCCGCAAAGTTTCGTTTCACAATAATAATTAGGTAAAATTTTAGAGGGGGTGTAAAGGACCTTTGGGGTACCCTGTATTGCGTGATAAAGTTTTGAATCCTTTCTTTAAAGGAAGTAAATTTTTATTATTTGTCACAGTCTGTTCTCAAGATTTACTGAGCTGATTTTCATGTTTTTTTCGTGTATCCATAGGAGGAGATAGTCCTAAGATAAAGTCGTTCTATTTAGATAAACTCACGGGGCCCCCGTAGCGGGCGTTAGAAGGTGCCATCCGGGTTGAGGGGCTGTGTAGCGGCTGGGGGACTATGCCCGTCCCCCAGCCCTCTCAGTGTTATAGCCGAACTTGTCGGCTGGAATGTGTCTATAGAATTGGATCAAAAACCAGTCGACAGGTTTGAAAGAATGGACGTTGGTTGAAATCGGAGGCTGCTCTAGTAGTTAGTCATCTCGATGATCATGAACCATCGCGAACCCGATGACCCTCGTATTGCGCCTTCCGCCGCAGGCGCTGATGCTATTCCCTCCTCCGTTGTCCAGGATTAACCGTAACTCAAGGTCGCAATTTTTTAATCATAACGTAAGAGTTTCTATCGCTCTCTGACGCTCTGAGACGCCCAACCGCCACAGTACTCAGTCCTCCTACAAACCTTCAGGGAGTTAGCACTCCCTCATTTCATTTAAAATCCCCTGTCGCCACCCTTTCACTGGGTGTCCCCCTCGTCTCCTCCCAGGAGGGACCCAATCCAGCCTCTTCTTTGGCAGCCTCTCTCCCGTCATCCTGTTAACATGACCATACTGGGCAAGCTGTTTGGGCGTGACGTCGAGTACGATTTCATTTTCGACTTCTATGCTCTGACGCACTCTATTATTCCGGACCCGATTTCTCGTACAAATCCCTGCCAACCTCCTCCAGAAATCTATCTTTGTTGCTCTTAACATGTCCTGTGTCCATTTCTTCAGCTGCCAAACTTCACATCCATACGTTAAAATATTTTTAACCACAACGTTGTAGATTCTCCTCTTGTTATCTTTGGAAATTCGCTGATCCTAGAGGATTCCATTTAACATCGCTAACCTTTCTTCCTTGGGTGTTCCTTTCCTCAACAGCTTGATCCGTCCTCCCAATCTGAGTCAACCGCTCTCCCAAGTATTAATAATCCGCATAGCCTCTGATATGCTGTCCATCCTCCAACTCAATGCTTTGCTAATCACCTACCAAAGTCAGTTTCTGAGATTTTGATATACTGACTTCCAAACCCCACTTTCAAATACTCATCTACCAACTTACGCATCATGTACTCAGCGTCATCTTGATCAATCACCCTGGTCATCAGCAAAGCTCTCAGTGAACAGCGTTTCAAAATCTCCCAATGGGACACCCATCCCAACACATTTCCTCTTCCATTCTTCCATTCTTTTAGCACGCACTCAAGATATACAGGGTGAGCGAAAAGTCCCCGACCCCCCCCCCCCCCCCCCCCCCCCCCCCCCCCCCCCCCCCCCCCCCCCCCCCCCCCCCCCCCCCCCCCCCCCCCCCCCCCCCCCCCCCACCNAATGTTGGCCCCCCCCCCCCCTGCGAGGGGCGCACACTAACTCGAAATTTTCAAATGGTAACCCCCTTTTGTGATACATCGTTGGAAAGGTAATAAAAAAAGAAACTTTTTGGCGCAAACCGGAGGTCTCTACGACTTTTCGTTCTCGAGTTATTCTCGGTCAAAGTTCAAAAAAGGCCAGTTTTCAAAAAATCGTAGGTCGGGTTCAGAAAGGTGCAGAAAGGCTAACGAGGCGGCAAAATCTCGGCATTGCATGTACTTTCAGAAAAAAATTGTCAAAAACCTTATCGTCTGCGCCTAGAGTGATTTTAGCCCCCCCCCCTCCTACGATTAACTGTCTTTCTTGCGGGAGGGGCGGCCAGTTCACTCGAGGCGGAAGAGGTACCTTTTTGGAGGTAACTCAGCTACCTGACGGAGCCGAGACTATTTGGGGAGGGGGGGGGGGCAGTCCCCCCCCCAAA